CGGAGAGGCAGCACTGTGCCCTGGATGGGGGGGCTGAGCAAGCGGGGCCGGCCACAGGATGGGATCTGCCTGCTGCTGCCCGCACTTCAGGGGGCTCGGCCCTTTCGGGGCGGCTGGGGGGGTCCAAATACTGTCCCCAGAGAAAGGACGGGCAGCTGCTAATTTGAACGAGACACGCTTGACCCCCTTGCTGCTCCATGTAATGCTTGAGGGATGGGAGTGGAGATTGAAGGACTGGAGTTGCTGGGCTCTTCGGGTGTTATTTCCCAGCCGGCCAGCCCCAGCGCCTGCGGGTGCAAGCGGTGGCAGGGAGCCCCTTGTCCTCAGAAGGAAGGATCCCTGCGCGCTCCCTCCTTGCTGCCAAGCATGCTCTCCGCCCCAGTGGGCTTTCTTGCCTGGCACACATGCAGAAAGCAGGTGTTTGCAGCTTGTTTCCAAGCTTAATTTTTCTTTTTTAACTTTTAAAATGCTTCCTTTTTCTACTCTTCTTGTGGTAAGATCAGCCGTCAGCGGTTTTGGACTTTAAACTTGAGGTTTGGGGATTTTCAACCCAGTCCAGACAGACAAATGACAGCAGAAGACGAGCCAGAGGGCTTCTTCGGCTGCCTCCACCCCTCAGGCTCACCCTGGGGCAGCACAGGCAGAGAATCAGCCTCGAGGAAACTGTGCTTAGGTGAAGACAAGAAGGAAGGAGATGACCGACGCCGGCTCTGAATGGGAACTGCTTGCACACGGCACTGCTGTAAGCCTTGAGGAGGGACGAAGATCCCATCTGTACCTGAGCTAGAGGAAAGGGTTGTGTTTTCCACAGGGAAAACAACCCAAACGCTCCAGCCCCCCCTGCCCTGACTATCTCTGTGGTTCTTGTCAAAGCCAACGTTTTCGGTCCTCTTGCACAACGCCAGGTTTTGTTCCACCCTCTCCTTCAGATGTGAGCAGGTCCTGCTCGGCAGCAGAAATATGGATTTCTGTGGAAACAGCTTCTTCATGTGGAGCGCCAGGCGTCACTGGAAAGTAAAACTTTGTGTTGTTCGGAGAATGGTGGGAGAAATGGGCCGCTGAGTGCAGGTAGTGAGTTTGTCTGCAGCATCGCTCCTTCCCCGGAGTGCCCCAGGGATGCGGATTGGTCACTGCGGGCACAAGTCAGGGCAGGGACATCCTAAACCAAAACAAGCCCAAGGAGGAAATCCAAAGTCAAGGCTGGAAAGGGGATTTAAAGCCACTGCAAGGAAACCCCGAAGTGGCGATGCTATCCCTGTGCCCACCTGTCTTGTTTGGCTTTCTGGGCTTCTTGGCTGTGTGCAAGCCTAGCAGCTCACTAATTACCATTACTTTAGTGCTAGTAATTTGCCCAGCATGTGTTGAGCCCTGGGAATTTGGAATCAGCCTGGTTCCGCAGCACTTCATTTCTCAGCCCTCCTCCTTCCTCGCCACCAGCTTCCCAGGCTCGGGCTCGATCCCCAGCGGCCCAGCAGCTCGCGCAGGTCCAAACACCCCTGGCCAGAGACCTTTCGGCAGATAAACTGATCTGCAGCTCCCAGCCAGAGAGGCGAGATATCCTCCTCCGCC